GTGATAATAGGAGACTCACACTGGTTGTACGGGAGGTTCGGATTTAGGAGCTGAATTTAATACTACAGCTATTGGCGTAGTAGTTGCGGTCATATTATCTGCTTTATAATATCTTCGAGAAATATTGACAAAAACCACAACAAGCCTGTTCTCAGAGAGATCTAAAATACGGCTAAATCTTAAATAAAACCTTACTGTAGTCATGGCATTTTTTTTGCGTAGGTCCTCCTTTACGTAATTTGTGACGTACTTTTTCAAACAACTAGTCAAAGCGCCAAAATCTATCATGTATGTGAAACTCGAATATTGAATTCAATTAATGGAAAATTTAAAATACTGCCTGCACAGCTGATCTTTCATATCTGAGTCGGGTAGTCTCATCTCCTTCCCCCGAATGGCTGTAACCCATAGTCGTCTCTGTGTACACACTAAGGTCTATCTTTATTTCATGGTATGATAGTACTGAAAAGGGTGTATTGGGGGTGTCCTATTAGAATTAATATTATTTAATGTTAATGCTAATGCATGGGTAATGCTGATAAAGCTGAAGCATTAGTCAATTATAGATTAGTCCTAATGGAAAAGAATTAGCGTGTTTTAATACTAATACTAACAGAGCACTCTAGGATGTATAGAAAAAGATGTATTGAAGGGACGTACATATTCCGACGTATAGAAACGACGTAAATTTAAATAGATCAGGAGAATATGGATATGTTGTTTTTCGTTTCCGGTCGAAACGATAAACCAGATGGACTCATTGAAGCAGTAGTAGTGATGGTGATCGCTGAAGATTTTTATGATGTGACGGAAGCTATGTTTGAAAATCGCACCACGACTTCCTTGAGTTGAATCATGATACGTTTATGGTTCATGTCCATTGATAAAACGATTTCATATTCTCGTCCAGGGAAAGGAAGCAGTTCTTCTTCATTTGGATAGACCGAATGCTGATGAGTGTCTGTTCCTGTGTTGCATTTAATAGCGAAGCAAGTTGTTGTACCACTCTGTTCAAAAAAGGATCGTGTTCAAGAACCTCAATGAAGGGGGAAAAGCGTATTTCTAGACATTTCTGACGTATTTATACTATTTTTAGAAATGCATGTCTAGGTATTTCCCGATATTTCCAAATATTTCTAAGCTGTTAGCATGCGTTTTCATCAAAAACATAAAAAGTATTAAAAGTGTTTGATTAGTTGACATAAACGCGTTAAAACAGTGGAAGTTTCAATACATACGAACGTTTAAACATAAAAAACGGATTAAAAGTTTATTGATTTTAAGCTGTTTCAACGCATTTTTGGCGACTAATCAAACGTTTTTAACAGTTTACAGATTGAGATGTTTAAACGCCGTTTTTGTCGCTTACTTGTCTGCCTGAGTACAGTCGATTGTCATCGAACATTTTATATTTGACTTGTATTCTCTGCATTTATTTTATCTCTTTTAAAAAAATATAATTACTCTAATCCTATTTTAGAGGAGATGCTGGTCTGACTTTACGAGCAAAGATTGTCTTGTTTCGAAGCACAGCTTTTTTCTTACCTACTAACTACACGCAAAAAAAATTAAGAACATATTGTGTATCTCGCTAAAACACTTTTACGTATCAAAGATAAAGCGAATATGTTGTTGCTTCTTCTTCAAGCAACAAGAAATTTTTGTTTGTTGCTCAATCCCATTAAAGTGATATTGCTGAAAAATACCCAGCAAAGGAATATGAGAGGGAAAGCGAGTGCAACTTCGAGATGTTGACACTGAGCAACGTGATCCTGTTGTATAATGACAGTATCACAGATGAGAGAATTCATTCACTTTACTGTAACGTCTCATGATGTTCTTGTCATTAACTGAGTACTTCTTCAATCGGTGGCTGTGCATTCTTGTTGTTGTTGCTAGCGTTATTGATAATGTCGACAAAGACTTTTGATACTGTAAAGCGAAACAGCAATTGTAAGTCAACATATGACGAAGCGAAATTTCAAGCATACATTATTACTCATTGATAAATAGCATACTGGATGAATTTGAAATCCGTAAAAGTCTGGATGTCAGTCTACTTTTCAACCACGCCCGGCACATTTGATTAATTACAATGGCAAATTTCATGCTTTCGGCGATCGACAAGAAGTCAGTTAGAAACATGATTGGTTGCTAAATTCAATGTTTTTCATAAAAAGATGACTATTTGGCAAACAGTGATTGAAACTATCTACATATACGGTTATAATGTTCAATGTGTGTGTCTGTCTATTTGTGCCCAGGTCGAAGATCAAGGGTCAAAATTCATGTTGTGAGTGGGTATAGGGTACGGTGGAATAAGTGATTGCATGGAGTCTGGTGTAGAATGTGGGGTGAAGATGTTGGGTGTAGATGTAATGTGGGGCTGAGGAAGTTGGGCGGATGTGGGTATATTTTTGAAATTAATATCCACACTCGACACCCATACCCAACGATAATTGTTATTAACTTGAATCATGATTTGACTTACATGTACTGAAATAAACTTCATTTTCACCAAATATATGATAAATTATGTTGTAAAAACATTTTTTTTGTTTTTACGGTCATTTGTTTGTTCTGTCTTCACATTTGAATAAAATCATTGTCCGCATTGGGTTTGGGTGGACCTGCCTTGATCAAATGTTGAAAAAGTCATGACTCAAAAACAGTAACCATTGAACCTTTACGATTTTCTCAAAAGATTTAGATACATATCAAATATTTTGAAAACTATTAAATGAAAGCATCGAACTTGAACAAGACTTTTAAAAAAAGAAGTAAAAATTTGGTCGATGAATAGTAATTTATTAGCAGTAAATTAAACTTAAACATTTGTATATATGGGCGTGTTCAACCATATGATACCCCTATTCATATTTGATTATGTAGCTTCATCCACATATCGGAAAAACGTGATTTTTTTACCAGTTATAGTACACATATAGTACTAATGATCTGTCATTATTTGAGCTCTATGTATCACTGGGACCAAGAGATATCGCGTACTTTCTTAAAAACATTTTGTTAAAGTACTTCACATCTAATCTCTTAACGTACATCAGTTCTTATGTAGAAAATTAAAACAACTTAAAGTACTCGCAACAAAGCTTTATTTTCAAATAGTTAATCAAAAGGATAGCTAACTTTTCACGTTCTCTATTTGCGAATAGGATGTTTACTTAAATTTACATTACATAAAGCACAAACGACCTGTGTGATCTTGGTAATCTTATCAAAATCATCAATAGCTCCTCTGTACACACCACCAAGAATTGCATAAGTTTTAAGACGTTGATTAATATTTTCAAAGAATTCTTTTTATTACAATATCCATGCGATTAGTAAAACCATAGTAGAAAACTTCCCACTACCCAAAAGATGCCAAGTAAAACTAGGTGTATGTGAACAAATTAGATACGAAGTATCTTAACAAAATGTTTTTTAGAAAGTACGCGATATCTCTTGGCCCCAGTCATGCATAGAGCTTAAACAATGACAGATCATTAATATTATATGTGTACTATAACTGGTAAAAAAAATCACGTTTTTTCTGATATGTGGATGAAGTTACATAAACAAATATGAACTGGGGTATCATATAGTTGAGCACGCCCATATATTAAATAAAAATCAGAAAAATATTCATTTTCTCCTGTTAATAATGAACCTAATAATTTCGATTTATTTTTAAATAGTCTTAAAGAGTTCTTCTTTTATCTTTCATATCTTCGCTATAACGTATAGCCCATATTATGTCAGACAACAGGGATGCTCTTGTTTGTATCAAATAATTAAAGCATTAGTAATTATTATCGGTAAAAAAAATCCATTTTTTCCACTGAAAAAAATTGTATAGGCAAGGTAGTTTTTCGTCTTTCACTTTTTTTCTTAATCGCATGCTTTTTTATGTTTGTTAGGCAATAAAGAAGTTTTTTCTAACAGAGTCAAGTGAACGAAAGGTAATCAAAAGTACTTTCAACATTCATTATTGATGCAAAAATATACAAGTTATGGCATTAGAATAAAAATGTGTCTCCAGAAAATTGCTTGAAAATACGAATAGAAAAAACCAATGTCGGTGACTAATAAATATACAAGAGAAAATAATAACGTCCCTCAATGAAAATTTCCTCAATGATGAGTCATGAATTGAAATTCGTATTCATGTGTAATGCTCAGAATAAAATCGAAATAAATTGATTGAGTCTATCAAAATGCTCAGTCGTATAACAAAAAATAGTATAAAACTACTCATTTGTAATTTTCAACTACACACTTTCGATTTCTCATCGATTCTAATTTGTTCATTAATCTATAATAGCCAATGTTAAATAAATTAAACTACTTAGTAAAATAACTAAGCGAAATAAATTTATTAACTATTAGATAATGCGGTATCAGTACCATTTTGTTTATTGCATATAAGACGAATTGTCTAAATGAACTTACGAGGCGATTACCCGAACTGATTACCGACGTTGGAGCCTGTAGAGCCGAGTTATGACCGTTTTACTGAATTTTCGTCCCATTTTGAGATATTCACTGTAAAATCAAATAACAGAATTTTGCTCATAGACAGATCTAATGACACTTGGATATGCTGATAGTGTCAGTCAAAAGGAATATTCATTTATTGAGATATTGAATTTCTAAATAAACTCGATTTTTTTGTAACATGTCTATGGCAAGTGACTATTTGTTGGCAGTTCAATATCTTGATAAATAAACATTCCTTTTAAGTTCAAATAGCAAGGGTCAGTTTGAGTAGTTTCTTCGTTAGAAATAAGACTTATGACAAAAACAATTTTCTCTTCTATGGTAATAATTTAATTAAGTTGAATTATCAGTCAATGATCAATTCAACTTATCGATTAAGTTCATTTCAAATCTCATCGTTCATATTCTATCAAATTTATTGCTATAATAATTTAGTCTTTATTTGTTTTTATATTACAAAAACATCATTCTGTTTACTGAATGAAAGATATAATTAAATATTAATCATCATCGTTGACATTGTTATTATCATCTAAATAAAAAAAAAAAATAAAAAAAGACGAATGCTCTTGATTATAATAAAATTTTACCAATATTTGTTTGCATTGAATCAATACTAAATGGTTTAATACCAAGAAAACGAGCATAATCATCTCCATAATAAACAAATAATTCTTCTCCTGGACGAATTGTTCTCATCGCTTTATAAAACATATTTCGATCATATTGAATAGGTTGTAAATTTTGTTGTTCAACTGTATTAGGACCTTGAAGATTAAAAAAAAAACGATAAGTCTGTCAATAAAGTTATTTTACTGCTATTCAATACATACAATTGATCTAAATAAAAGGAAAACTATTTTAGTTTTTCTATATTATTTAGCAACTTACATATCGCATCCAATTACTATTATTTGGATCACATCCATCAATAATATAAATCATCTTAAAAAATATGAATTAAATTTTGAAAAAATATGTCTATCAATAATACCTTTCCATATTTATCTGCAATACTCCAAGCATAACCTGATTCTTGTGCACTCTTAAAATTTGAATGTCGTGTACCCGTATAAGGTCCAAAGAAAGTATTTTTTTCAAATCGTTTTGTTGCAAATACACCTTTGCCTGCTTTCAATATAGTTGATGGTTTTATAATAATTCCATCTGGACAAGTTAAATCAGATAATCGTTGTGAATGTTTAAGTGATGATTTTGATATCTTAAATGATTAAAAAATATACATTGTTCTTTTTATTTTAATTAAAATTAACTTTTTTGTCAGGAATATATGATTGTTTATGATATGGACAAATATTATCATAGAATTTATTACAATCATCACAAAATAATCGAGCATCATCAAATTCAGATTTAGAAGATTTTTTATCAATATATGAAGATGATGTTCGATGTTTTCGTTTTTCATCGAAATAGAATGATGAAGAATTTTTCTTTGATTCATTTAATTTTAAATCAGATTCTTTTCGTTTTTTATGTTGATAATAATTCGAAGTTGAACTTCTTCGATCAGAACGATGTTGTTCATGCATGTTGTTATTATAGTAAAGACATGCATTATAAAAAACTGAAACAAAGAATATGATTTTATTATTATTATTACTATTATTCTTAAGTACCGTTGTCTTTTAAATATGAAGAACTTTTAGAAGACATTATTTAATCGTTTATTAATGCATATTTGTGTTCAAAACAAAAAAAAAAGAAAACTTAAAAAAAGTAAAATGCTGAAATGCATGTGTTTTAGCGGGTGATAGATTTAGAAAGTATTTTTTTTTGTATCCAAGCATCTGTATGTAATAAACAATCTTATTATCAGTTTCGATTCAAAATACAAAATCGATTGATAAGTGCAAGCTAAAGAGAGTACAACTTTAAAAGTGAATTTTGATTGCAAGCCAAGATACACACTGGATAGAATGATGACATTAAATTTTATTAGAAAAATACTTTAACTGCAATGAAATTCTGTGCCTTACAAATCAACTTTGCTAGGTGATAAATTACTTTTAAAATGAGTCTTATTTCAATAGATAGGCTTTATTAAAACTAGGAATTCTTATTCTTGGGTCCTACTTTATTTTTGAATTAAGACTATTTAAATGGATTTTTCAGGCAAAATGCCATGATTGTTTTCGGATCACGTTCAAAATCGATATAGGAAAGTTCTATATAGTAGGAAATTCTAGCATTTTTTATAGAATATAAGTGACTTTTGTAACTTTAATATCTATAAAAGGAAACATTCCATTGACAAAATTGACCTATCTGTGGACAAAATCTTAGATTAAAATATCATCATTCCATTTGTTGTTTACATATCATGCCATATTTCATTGATGTCTACCTTATACATAGGATTCAAATTCAAAAGAAACCGATCAGTTAAAAATGTTTCCTGGTCAGAGAAAGTATATTGATTTAGATATGAATCATACCTTTCTCATTTTTTCTATATCTCTAATCTAAAGCTTTTTTTATCTGCTAGTATCAATTTCACTAATATTTGTAATGCAAAGTGTGACAATGTTTTGAGGCCATATTGATCAAAATAACACGCCATCTATTGATTCACTATACCTGTGGTGATATGTAAAACCAAAGAACACTGAAATAATTGATGAATGAATGACGACTGGCTTGCTTTTCTTTCCTTCACTGCTTCGAGAAAGTGTTCATAACTATATATATATATATTTGCAGTACTTGAATAACTTTCTTTTTCTTTCAATATAAAAAAAAAACTTTTTGTTTGGTTTCATAAAAAAAAAAGAAAATGACTCGTCGATTCCATACATTTACGATTCTTATAACAAGTACAACAACAGCAGCAGCAGCCACATTTGGTCTGACTCGTTTCATTCATCGATGTCAAGAGAATCCTTCACATCAATCAGATTCAAATGAAAATAATTCAACTAAACTATCGTCAATAATACTTGAATCAAAGCATGATTTAACTGATAATGCTCTACAAAATCATTTATATATACCTATTGAATCTACTAATGTCGTTATAACTGCAATTTATCAACAAGCTTTACATTATTTAAAACTAACTCATTCAACAAATACTCATATACGTGAACGTGGCCTTAGTCATTTAGCTAAATTAAATAATTTACCTCCTATTTATTATTCAATTATTGGTCAACAACTTGATTATCATTCAGCTATTCGATTAGCTCGAACTTATGAAGCTAATTCAAATTTATTTCCTATTGGTCCACCATATATATTTTCAAATAGAAATAAAGAAATACTTGCTACTGGTAATGTAGATAATGTAAATGATGATGATGTACTTTTACATACTATAAGACGATTTCTTGATAAATTAATTGATGATAAAAAACGTCCATTGGATATATTAAGTCAACATTATCTTAAATTGGTAAGAAAAGTACAATGAAAGAATTAACATTCTATAAAATATGAACGTTCGAAAACGACTCGCACCCATGTATTACACAGACAGTATGATAACCGTTTTAGTAGGTCAGTTGTTCATGAAAAACTTAATTATGAGGGTTTTTCATTTGAAATTTTGCTCATGGGCAGGTCTTATAATCATTAGAATATTCTAAAAGTTTCAGTTCAAACCAATATAATCTTTTTGAGATATCCAATATTCAATGAATGCGTATACAGTACTGGACAAAAATATAAGAACACTTTATTTTTGATTTTTTTCTACGATGCTAAATAGCTAGCTCAAATCCAAATAGTGATTCTGAAAGNTGCTAATGAAAAGAAATAATATTGTAGCATGAACACACGAATATCAGTGTTGTTTGGTGAGTGGAGTGCAAGATGCTGTGCGAAACAATCTGATTCAGGTACATAATGGATGAAATAATAAAGTAGCAATTGAAGTGTGGAACACATATTGCGAGTGAGACTTGTAACCAAACGATGTGTATCATCTAAAATGACCAATTGAAGGTGATGGACTAACTAATCTAGTTTCAGCTCTCATTTTTAATTAACCGAATATTCATTAAAAAATATGAAACATTAAATTTTTCGTTCATCTTGTTTGTGTATATTTTGTTTTTCATCATACATTGGAAATAATAACCAGTCTTAACAATAATAAAAAATTATATTTGTACCTATGATACTTGAAATGCTGTAAAGATTACAAATAATCTCAATGAGTGATTTATCTATTGGGTGGGCTGGGTGGGCGGTGCCCATCCAAAAAACAAAACTACTACAGATCTTTTCCAAAATAAACTGTCTGTTTCTTTAAAATGATAAATAACTGCATATCTCAATGTTTGTACCATATTTGTCGACAAGTGCTGGGATGGCCAGATGAATTTTTTCTCCGTTATATATATCGTTGTACTGTTAGCATAGAATTTCGAAAACATCTTCTGAATCACATATGTTGCACACGCCTGTATCTCCAGCAGTATTAACATATTCATGTCTCCAAAAAGCATGGTGAAAGCCATCGATCGATACATGAAATGTTTCGATCAAATGAAAAAAGATCAAATTTCTATTATAAATTTGCTTGTGGGTCCAAGCGGACTTCTGCTCAGCCATAAAGTCAACAAATTAGAAGAGCTTCCAAGGGTTAATACCATTTAAGGATGTGCTTGTTACTCGAAGACAAGGGATGAGATAAAAAAAAAGTTGAATACATGGTTAGAAAGTTCTTTCAACGTAGATTCTGCAAAAGTATTTTTTTTTAAATTTCTCCGAAATGTTTTCGTAGGTGAAAAATGGAGGAACATTTTTAAACAAGCTTTTGCATCACGCGTTATCCCTTCAGTGATCCATTTTAGGGTGACTGAACATCACCTGATCGTTTCCAGAACTCTCAGAAAAATGCTTAATGCTCCTGAACAGAGCAACATGTTGAGCTTAGCCTTGCGTAGATCGAAAGCATGTCGTTTTCTCTATCGAATAGTCGCCTTTGGATATAAATTTGACTAGAATGCACTATGGTTACAGCATTTTCAAAAATTACCATCAACAACTACCTAACATTGACTTGAGTGAATTCATGTTTTCTAATATAGGTAGATGGCCTTCATCGGCTTCTGTTGAATGGTGAAAATCGCAGATGGCTAGCTTATTCCATTCTGGAATTATTCAAAAAAATAACCAAGTGTATTGAAGTCTAGCGCTGATGATAGTTGGATAGTTCCCGAAGCGTTCAGTCGGAACTTCGAACTGCAGTTTGGGTACGCTGTATGTTTGATATGAAGAAAACTAGGAGAATGACATCGGTACATATCTAGTTTTAGAAAAATTACCAAGTCCTTGGATCGAACTCACTAACGATTACATGAATATGTGAAACTGCACTTGGAATTTAGTCCAATGGTTTCGAGCTATTGAAAAATCAATGAGGTGTCCTTAAATGAAACTCGGAGCTTAATTAAATTTTTTACCTATTTTTATTAAACATGGTCCTGTTTCAAAAAATTTGGGCACAAAATCTACATTTAACTTGTGTACGACAATCAGCATGCATTCTTTTATGCCGACAAAGATTTGAAAACTGTGTATCAGATTTAAAACAAACTTCACATTGAAATAGTTTTATTGATGAATGTATATGCATAAAATCGTAAAAACCTAAATTAAAGAAAAAAGAACGTGCTAGATATTCATCATAATTATAGAGAAGTCGACGGCATGTTTACTTGTTATCAAAGCTAAAACGAATTTGATGAATATCAACAACAATCGTATTCTCTATAATTCCATGTAATTATATTTTTTCCGTAAAAGTCACGAAAGAGCGAAAAAGATCCGTTATTAATTTAACATTCATACTTGTTTTTCCAAAAGCGTGAACCAATGATTTGATTCGTTAATGATATGAAACAATATTTTTCTTGAACACAATGAAGTAAGCGAGAAAGGAGAAGATCATTTAAAGTTCCTCTGAAACATTTTATTCATAACTAACGACAACTATCGGTAACTCTCTATGCCATCTATAGATGATGAATATGCTCAGTATTTCTAATGGCAAGTGTACACTGCAGAAGCAAAATGTACAAACATCTGCAGCTATAAAAATACACGCTGCTGTACACTTTGCTTAAAAAAGCAGCGTGCACACTTTTCTGGAAAATTTTATAATATATCTTAGTTTTTACTAGAACTTTTTCTTTTTTTGCTCTTTCGCTTCACTTCGGTAATGGAAATGGTTGTGTACATTTTGTTGTACACTTTACTTATTCAAAACAGCATGCACCGTACATTTTGTTTTAGAATTCCATTAGAAACACTGAATATGATACGGACTGATGGATTCAACTTACTTAGACAAAGACATTTTAGTATTTTCTGGAATATAATCTTTTCTTTCATAAAATAGAATACATTATATTCTATGATAAGATTATAGAGTGAAACGATTTGTTACACGTTTTTCTTACGTAGGTAAAGTTAGCAGCGGATTCGAGTTTTTTGGGAAAATATTCGCCTACAGACTTGTGCCAAAAAAGATGTTGATTGTGCCAGATAGAACATCGAATGTACTACAGAATTCATAACTTTCAAACAAATTTATCGTAATAAATGGCCAAAAATTAAAAAAAACTACTTTTCCAACTCTGTTTTTAGCGAAAAAACAGTATTTCAGCCTGATATTCGTTTCAACGGTTCACCGACGTTTCCGCGCACGACATGTCCGCGCCGACGTTACCGCGCCGACTTTTCCGCGCAGGACACTTCCGCGCAGCAACGCTAGCGCGCGCGACACTTCCGCGCGAATGAAGTTTTTCTCGTCTGTTTATGTTGGATTAATGCGGGAGGAATCACCTGGGATGCTAGAGAGATCACCTATGATATCGGTGGGATCACCTGAGATGCTAGAAGGATCACCTGGATTGCTAAAGAAACCATCTAAAATGCTAGAGCGATCGTCTATGATACTGGAGGGATCATCTGAGATGCTAGAGGCATCGCCTGGGATGCCAGACGGATCACTTGAACTGCTGGTAAGCTCATCTGGAACACTACAGGGACCACCTAGGATGCTGGAAGGATCATCTGGAATGCTGCATACATCGCCCGAGATACTAGAGGCATTGCTCTGGATACTAGAATCATCGCCCGAGATACTAGACGCATCGCCTGGGATGCTAGACGGATCGCCTGAGTTGCTGGAGGGGTCATCTGGGATTCTACAAGCGTTACCAATGGATGCGTTTAGTATCATAGGAGATGCATATAGCATCTCAGGCCATCCTCTAGCATTTCAGGTGATTCCATAGCATCTCAGGCGATTCCTCTAGCATCTCAGGTGATCCTGCTAGCATAAGAGGCGATCCCTCTAGCATCACAGGCGATCCTTCCAGTATCATAAATGATCCCTGTAGCATCATAGGTGATTTACGTAACATCCCAGATAATTCCTATAGCAATCCAGGTGATTCCTCTAGCATTAGCCCAACATAAACAGAAGAGAAAAAATTCATTTGCGCGGAAGTGTCGTGCGCGGTAGTGTTGCTGCGCGGAAGTGTCGTGCGCGGAAATGTCGGCGCGGAAGTGTCGGCGCGGAAATGTCGTGCGCGGAAACATCGTGCCACGCGTTTCAACACCTGTGCCACATTCAAAAAACGACTGTGCCAGATAGAACTCGATGAGATCTATCGATTGATATCAAATTCAACCTAGTTAATCATGAACATGAGCCTCTAGTTCAACAAAAACCGGACAGGCAGAAGGTTTTGGCTGGTATTATGAGTAAATATTGAGATAGAGAGTTGTACCAATTAAGAAAATAGTTGTGCCAGATAGATCTCATCACGAACTATCTGGCACAAGTGTTTTCTTAATTGGCACAACTCTCTATCTCAATATTTGCTCATAATACCAGCCAAAACCTTCTGCCTGTCCGGTTTTTGTTGAACTAGAGGCTCATGTTCATGATTAAATAGGTTGAATTTGATATCAATCGATATACCTCGATGAGATCTATATGGCACAAGTGTTTTCCTAATTGGTACAACTCTCTCTCTCAATATTTACTCATAATATCAGTCTGAATCTGCTGCTAACTGATCTCGGGACAACTGAAGACCCATTTCGATGGTGATCTGGGTTGAATTTGATATCAATCGATGGATCTCATCGAGTTCTATCTGGCACAGCCGTTTTTTGAATGTGGCACAGGTGTTGAAACGAATATCAGGCTGAAATACTGGTTTTTTCGCTAAAAACAGAGTTGGAAAAGTAGTTTTTTTTAATTTTTGGCCATTTATTACGATAAATTTGTTTGAAAGTTATGAATTCTGTAGTACATGCGATGTTCTATCTGGTACAATCAACATCTTTTTTTGGTACAAGTCTGTAGGCGAATATTTTCCCAAAAAACTCGAATCCGCTGCTAACTTTACCTACGTGTTTTTCTTAAGTATTTATAAAGACAGAAAGCTATGTAGGTGGATAAAGTTGAATAGTACTTTTCTCTATAAGATGTACTAATATGAATCGTTATCTTTCGGATATTTATCATTTACGAATGAACTTATAATAATTAAAGAGTCAGTAGTTAAGGTCAGATACTCAATAAATAAATTTTTTAACATTATCTTGTACTTATTACCTGTTTTTTACATTCATCATATAAAATGGCATCAGCAACACCAGATAATATTATTCTTAGTAGTGAACCATCTTCCAATATAATTGATCAATTTTCTAAATTATTAATCTCATTACCAGTTCATCAACAAAAAATTCAACTTAAATTAGATCCTCATTGTAGTGAAGGTGCCGACATTATACAAAATTGTTTGGCATTACATATCGGTTTGTCATTAGTTGAATATGTACTTCAAGAATGTCCATAATGTGCTTTTTGGCTAAAAGATCATTTTTTACCATCGGACCATATTCTATTTACAAAGGAAGTGGTAAATTTTATTTTTTTTACTTTCGTTTGTAGATGGTTTTATTTTTTAATTGTTATTGTAGCAGCTATCCGAGAATCAGATTCACGAAATTCTTAATACAGTACGTGAATCAAGTAAATGGCCTCAAATTATATTCAAAGATAATAAACAAATTAGATCTATGCTTCATATAAAAAAATCTCCAACTAATACAGCATATGGTTTATATATAGTTGGAGAAGATCAAGATAATCACATCTATATGAACTCACAAGTAAGTAGAGCTCTGCTAGCTTTGATCAATTCTTCTCTTTTATTGTTCAAAATCATACTACATTTTTTTTCTTTTCTCAGATTTATTGCTCTTGTTTTCATTTAAAATAAATAGACACATAGTCCCTAAATAAATGAAGATGATTAATAATAGGGGCTGAAATATTCTAATTATGCGATACAGTTTTATCCCATGCAGACGAATAAATGCTTTTCTTCCGAACAGTGAAAACTTATACCATAGTGAGAAGGAATAGGCGACGCTTCACAATTTAGAATAGATGAAAACCTCAATATCGAAGTTATCCCTTTCTTATTGTTTTAAATGATCTTTTCCCTATTTCGAAGATAAAATTAAACATTGAAAAAATTCCACTCGAAACCTGTTACTCCGTTATTTACATTCACAAGGCAATGAATCCATTCTTTTGAAGGGAATAAAAATACGCCAGTATTCTATGCTCTTTAGTCTCTGATTTTCTATGAATCAAAGTTCCTGAAGTCTGTAGTTTATTAGTAAATACCGCGTTTTACTATTGATTGTAATATCAAGGTATATGGGTTATAGCTAATCTTCATTAGGTTCAATGCGTTGTCTCGATCAACGTAGTAAACTGTCCATATGTATAATGCATTTAAATGCACGAAATTACGAGTTATAATGCGCCTATATGGAAAACGTGTAAAAATCGTTTTCTAAATAGTCATAACGGGGTTGAAGTATAAGAAAAATGACACCGTTGAAACGTGATTTTCCGCACATTTTTGACCGTGCAAAATGCGTTTAATAGCAGAAAAGAACGAAATGTTGTAACGCATTAATTTCACATTTCTGACTGCATGGGATATGAAGAATAATATCTCTTTTGTATTGGAAACATAATCCACTGTTCTCTTAAAACTCGAAAAAACTCTACTTCATATATTTTGTTGTTTTTCAATCTCATGAGATGAGAACAACACCTCCCAGGTTAAGAAGAAATGAGAAAAAGAGGGCGAAAAAGCGTTCGATTCCGATGAATTTTATCTCTTTCATCTTTCCGAAAATACGCATCGAAACGGTTCCGCTTTTTTCTTATTTTTGCGATAGAGTCAAGTTTCTATCCGTGTCAACTTCAACGAGTAATTTATCGTTTTGAAATGTTAATGTTTGCAAGATTATTTTTAGAAAGATGGAAGCATTTTTCTTCGTTTCAAGCGAGACATATTTCGACGTGGCTTGATTTCGTAAATTCTGGGAACGATATTAAATCATTCCTGAAATTTTCGAAATTAAGTCAAAAAAAATCGAAAAACAGTCTAATATTGTTTAGCCAGTCATAGAGTAGATTTTTTACTATTATATTTTTTCTCGAATAACTTGTTTTTCTGTCTCAAGCGAGAAAAAATTCATTTAAAAAAAGACAAAAAAAATGTAACAGTAAAAAATCTATCTATGACTGACTAAACAATATTAGATTGTTTTCGGAATTTTTCGGCTTGATTTCGAAAATTTCGAGCACGATCTAATATCGTTTTTGCTAGTCCTAGTTCAACTACCTATCAAATGAAAAAAAAAAGAAAAAAAATTGTTTTCATTTGCACTGTAAGATTATATCATGTTGTTAATGTATGACTACCGTGGTACAAAGAGGAATATTATAATCAAAACCCGTTTCAATCGGTTTTTATCCTCTTTGATCTTCAGTTTTGAAGTAAAACTGTTATTGACGCGTAAAATTAAGATGGAAACGATTAGAGAGGGTTTTGACACGTATTGCGAGCAAAATTAGGAGAAATACACATTTTTACCCTCTTTTCGGCGTTTCTTGTTTGCCTGAACTTCCTTTATACTTGAAAACTATATAGCAATTGCCTTTTTATTGATCCTTTTTACCTTTGTTTCGTTGTCGAAGACGATTTTTGTTCAATCTTCCTTGTGAAAGTCTCTCGATAGACAATATATTTGAAAAACATAATTTTGAAAACATATATCTAGAGACTGAAAAGTGGATTGTTTCATAGTTACACACTATCACCAGTTATTCTTATTATTCTAAGAGTTTTTGACCAACGCAATCGCTCTTTGACAATGGGCAAAGGTGAATCGAGCCTTTTTCAACGGTTTTACGTTGAATTTTTCTTAGACGCTTGTAAACAACTGAAAAGTTGAGATTTCAGACATGTTTCAACAGTATTTCTATTATCTTGAATGAGGAACTAGTAGTTAATGATCATGTTAACTCTCAGAAAAAGAGTTCTTTGAGCATTTTAATCTGATGGGGAATTTTGACAGAGTTGAGTGTTAATCGGATTTTTTAAAGTATGATTGAGAATTTTTTTTTCCTCATATAATTTAATTTAGATAAAAATGTGTCTTGCGCATTCAAATATCGATGATCATTTACGTATTATTAGTAATGATTTCATCGACAAACTTTGACAAAAAGAAACATATAATGGTAAGAATAGAAGAACTTTTATATTTCTTCTATTTCGAAATGTTTTGTAATTTTATTAATTTTTTTTCAGTCTCATCGGACAAGCATAATTTTTTGCATTATAATTATATGGCTTTTTCTGTTCTTCAACGATATAGCTTCGATAAAGCTGCCGATATTCACGTATTCCATGATCATGATAATTTTTTACAAGGACTTCCTATTAAAGAATTATCTTTCAGTGACGACGAAACGCACTCACAAGACAAAGACAATGATGATGAACATGTTGAACCATTTCATTTAATATCAGATAAAATCATATTATAATCAACTATTAATCTGAATGTTTTTTATTATTATTGTTATTTGTCTTTTTTGTGTATTTAACATTAGTGAAGTTTTTGTGCTAGTTCATGTGTCTATCGAAAATGATCATTGATCATTCTAAAAGCTTAAATTATGAAAAAGTAAATGTTTTGTCTTCGATTATTTCCATTATTCTGTTCCCATAATAGATCTCACCTTGTTTGACAAATCATTTCATTTATGAAATGTGAACAAAGAGCGACAAAAATTATTTCATTATGAATTTATGTACTTACCGATATATTATAGGTTAGATTTTTAAACTGAAATAATTACATCGTAAAAGTCGATTTGTAGTCTGTCGTATCTTTTGTGTGTGATTAACATTTGTATTGGATATTGATTTCGCTTCATTATTTAAGCTAGCATCTGTTAGGAAAAATGGATAACTTAATATATTTGAATAAGTTTGATTTTTTTCTAAAATATTAAATATATTTATTTAATCTAAATCTAATAAGAACCCGCATCTAATCCGAGGTCCTCCAGTTGAACCCGATCCGAAAAATCTGATTTGCTTATTTATCCTAGATTAGCAATTTAATAAAACGAACTTGCATAACAATAATCAAGAAGACAACTTAGGTGAGACTAATCTTACAATTTTGTTTTATTCGACAATAAACTCATTAGAAAATAAGCACTTCGTTGTTCATTATTTTATTACAAAATTAAAAATCTAGGAGATTCAACAAATGGAAATAAATCATACAATATTAAAATCTTTTTATTCACTACTTAAGAATAGAAAAATATTCAATAAAATAAGAGGAATGAAGAACATCAAGCAAATTTTTCCCAGATAGAAGACGAATATATACAGTGGGTACCAAAATTATTCAACCAGGTTTATTTTCAATTTCTTTCCGCTATCTTGAACGCTAGAAACAATCCAAATAATGATTCTGGTAGAGAAAATTGTTTCCAACCNTGCTAATTATTTCACAAATTTCTAATAAAAACGACGATATTCTTTGTGAAGCGAGACATCTTGCAAGCTGCGAGCTTATTCTAGAAAGAACATTGCCATATTTGTATGAGTGATTGCATCTGCCCTCCCCGTGGTTGATAAGTTTTTCTATAGCTTATTCATCTACTAAAGTTTCATTTATTAGTCGTTTCTTATTTTATTTCTTCTTCTCTTTATCAGATGAAAGCCTAGCTCATCTTTCGCCAACTTTCGAAACTATTGATCTTTCGTTCTGTCGTGTATTTTCGTCCAGCTCACGAAGAAAAGAAAAATATTTTCTCTTTTTCGATAACTTGCTTGTTCTTTCCTTTTCGTCTGTTCAATTGCACTTCATCTGGTGTGAAGAGTAGTTACCTAGTTTACTTACCGACTTAAGTTTTATTTCATAATTAGGATCAATGCAAGTTTCAATATAAGTAATGCATATATTTATTATGTGTATGGGAATAGGGATACTCAGCTCATATAAACGTCAGATTTAGTTCAGAATTAGATTAACAGTATTTAAAAAATTATTCTTCAAGTAAAGTATCAGTGAAGAAAATTCTCTACGAGTACGCCTATAGGATGAACTCTCTAAGATTATTAGAGTTTGAGCCAACTAAAATAATAACTTTAAGTCTTTAGTAGATGAATAAGCTATAGAAAAACTTATCAACCACGGGGAGGGCAGATGCAATCACTCATACAAATATGGCAATGTTCTTTCTAGAATAAGCTCGCAGCTTGCAAGATGTCTCGCTTCACAAAGAATATCGTCGTTTTTATTAGAAATTTGTGAAATAATTAGCAGTCACTCGTTAGTTTTGACCATCCTTGCGTTAATCGTAATATTTAAAGATATTTTCACCAAACAATCCAACTAGTCAGTTATTTTAAATGCAAGAATTGAGCTTCTCATTACACGACGGATATAGATAGAATCTTTTAACTACAGAATATTTCATTACTTTACTAGTATGTCTCTGCATATTGCGAATGAAATTTGAGGACTCAAGAATCTAATATCTCAGAAAAAAGAAATTAATATTGATATTTTCAATAGCGTAGATTATTTACAGCAAGAAAAAGTACAGTACATCAAGTTAGATTTTTGTTTTCGAGAGATTATTTAGAAAAAAGCTATATTATTTGAGAAAGCAATATTGTCTTAAGAATCACGACAAGTTTTCTTTGAGTAACTGTTTTTCAAGAATCGACATCAAGCATTTACAAAATGTCCCAGAGTCGGTACTCAACATTTTTTTCTTATAACTTCATTATTTATTGATCTTTCTCAGCTAATTTTTCGTACAATAGCTGACATCATCATGGTTTTATTTCGATAGACAGTCTGCGAAAGTGTTCTTTAAACTAATTATCATTAGTCGAGTT